CGCACTTGAATGGGTTAAATGCAGAGCACTAATTCCAAGTATGGGTCACCATACTTTGCCACACGTCACGTCACTTTTATTTTTTATTTTTTTAATATATTATTAATACATGCGGTTCACATGGTTATTTCATGTATGTTATATTTGCAGCAGCAATATTTCTTACATGCTCACAGCAGCATGTTGTGGATGTATTGGCAGTAGCAAGTCTCGGTACTTGATCTGCCGCAGCTGCAGCGTAGCAGATCTATTCCGCCAAGACCAAATACATTAACAATGTCATGTACATTACCATGCCAATCCCTCCGAGAGTTGTCATGACAGAACTAAACTTAAAACAGATGCAATGGCGCCACCAGCTGACTGACTATAGAAAAAGCAGTTGACCCTCATAAACATTTAAGATGTTTAATCTTTTTTAATAGCTATTGTTTTTTAATATTCTTCTTTATTAAAACTGTCTGTATCCATTTCTCTTTTTCCATCTGCCAGGATTTGCTCTATGTGATCCCTACACACAGACAGGCTTCACGAGCAGCAAACATAGTCCATGCCATGCTGCAGTATCGGCGTAAGCTGGAGCGAGGAGAACTTACCCCGGTACTGACACAGAAACACAAAAGCGTTTTTCCATCCACAACATTGAATTACCATGAAAAATATAAATATAGAAAAATTTCCTATCATGCCCTCTGTTCTCTCTTTGTCAGCTGAGAGCTCTTGGGATTGTCCCCATGTGCTCTTTTCAGTACGAGAGGATGTTCAACACCACCCGTATTCCTGGCATTGAGACTGGTAATGACATTTTTCATATATTTTCAGCTTTATATACTACTTGACGATAGGCTTACAGTTTCATGGCTTTTTATTTCAAACCATGACATGATGGTTTCTCACACTGATTTGTTCATGCTCAGATTTCGTGCAGCATCTGAAGGACAGGAAGCACTTGGTTGTGTACCATCGAGGCCGTTTCTTTAAGGTGTGGCTGTACTATGGTGGTCGCCATCTTTGGCCCTCAGAGCTTGAGTTGCAGTTTCAACGTATCCTGGATGACAAGTCTGAACCTCAACCTGGAGAGATCAAGCTCCCCTCACTGACTGCCGGGAACAGGTGAAGATGAGCTCACAATAGTCCTGCAACTGTGTACTAGAATGGGGTCCAAAATGGGGTCCAGGGGGCTTCAAGAGGGTGTTCAAACAGTTTGAACAGTATGACTTTCTTCTGTGGAACCCATAAGAAGATATTTTGAAGAATGTTGGAAACCAAACCATTTTAGTTGCCATTGACTTCCAATATATGGACAAAAAATACAATGGAATCAATGGAAAATTCTTCAAAATCTTGCTTTGTGTTCCACAAAATAAAGAAATGCATGTTTGGAACAAAATGAGTGTGAATAAATGCTGAATGAAATCTTCACATCCAGGGTTCCCTGGGCCAGGGCCCGTCTGAAGTACTTCAATGAGGGGGTCAACCGGGCGTCTCTGGAGGCCATTGAAACGGCTGCATTTTTTATGACTCTGGATGATGAAGCACATGGATACGATCCAGAGAACATACGGTCCCTAGACCTCTACGCCAAATCTCTACTACATGGAAAGTGTTATGACAGGTAAGAACCAGTATTATTTATAATTTTTTTATTTATACCTTTAATTTTAATGTCCTAGTAATTATGTGCTTTTGTTATTTTTATTAGTTTTTGTTATTTTTAATATTTATATTTAGTTTTAGTTTATTTTCCCTTTAAGATTTAGTAATTTTAGCTCTTTAGGCACTAGTATTTCATCTAATATTTATATTTTATTTTATTTCAGCTTTATTTCAGTTAATGAAAATGTTTATCAATTGTTTTGTTCTCAGTTAATGATAACAACGCAGCAAGTAGCACTTTTAAGTCTCATTAACAGATAATTATTTTTGTTGACCATGACCAGTTGCACACCTACACACTGAAACACAACACTCTCGCCTGTCAGGTGGTTTGATAAATCCTTCACTTTGATTGTCTACAAGAATGGTAAAACTGGCATCAACACTGAGCATTCATGGGCTGACTCCCCTATCATAGGACATATGTGGGAGGTAAACAATGAATAATAATAACTGTAAATATGCATAATGTAATTAATGCTGTAAGAATTAACAAACATTTTAACTTTCTGTTAAGTATGTTTTAGCCACAGACTGTTTCCACCTTGGATATACGGCGGAGGGACATTGCAAAGGAGATATCAACAAAAGCCTGGCACCCCCTACCAGACTACAGTGGGACATCCCAAAAGCAGTATGAATGAACCCTTACATCTTAGTGTTTGACATGGGTTTACATAAAAAAAAATAGAACTAATTCTAATTGGGTGTTTTATGTACATTCTGACAACTGCAAGATCATTTCTACATTGATAACTGATTAAAGTTCCTTATGTTTCTCAGTGCCAGGAGATTATTGAAGGTTCTTACATGATTGCAAAGGGAATTGCTGACGATGTGGATTTCCACGACTGCTTGTTTAATGAGTTTGGGAAGGGCCTGATAAAGAAATGCAGAACAAGTCCTGATGCTTTTATCCAGCTGGCACTGCAACTAGCTCATTACAGGGTACAAGCCACACATATTTACAGTACATATAATCCCTCTGCAAAAATGTCTGTATATTGTGAACAAACCGTTTAATGAAGGATGTTTGTTGGAGCAGGACAAGGGTGAATTCTGTCTGACTTACGAATCATCCATGACGCGCATGTTCCGCGAGGGCCGGACGGAAACCGTGCGCTCATGCACCTGCGAGTCCACGGCTTTTGTAAAAGCAATGGAGGATGAAAGTACCACGGTGAGAGCAATATATACACACCCAACCCAGGAGTCATAGCACTATTTTAAAAGTTGGTAACTGAAAACTTTTGTTTTTGCAATTAGCATAATGCTGCATCGACAATAAAAGATTTCAGTATTTTTCAAGACCACTGTTTAAATATCCAGTGGAACATCAGCACTTAAGCAACAGTATAAGCTTTGAAAATTTGTATTCATTATTTTAAACTTTTTTGAAAATTATATTAACTTGTCTGACTTTTGCTTGTTTACCAGAATGAGCAAAGGTTAGCGCTCTTCAAGAAAGCTGCAGATAAACATCAGAACATGTACCGTCTGGCCATGACTGGAGCTGGGATCGACCGCCATCTCTTCTGCCTCTACATTGTGTCCAAAGTAATGGGCATTGACTCACCCTTCCTCAAACAGGTGTGTACAAGTCTGTGTCTTGAGTATAAAACGTGACATACCTGTTTAATTTAGCTTAAGTCTCAGACACCTTGTTTTGATAGGTTTTGTCAGAGCCCTGGCGCCTCTCCACCAGTCAGACCCCTCAACAGCAGCTCAATCTCATCGACACTCAGAAGTTTCCCAAATATGTGGGAGCAGGAGGCGGCTTTGGGCCTGTGAGTCTCACTCACTCCCCCTACAGTACACAACGTGTCATTGCAACAAGTTTAGTAAATAATAAACCTGATATTTGAACATTGTTGATTCAAAACTCTTTATATACAGGTTGCTGATGACGGTTATGGTGTTTCTTACATCATTGTCGGCGAGAATCTCATTACATTCCACATTTCCAGCAAGTTCTCCAGCCCTGAAACGGTAGGCGAATTTCAAACATTTTTCTTAAGTGCCACTTTTTGTGAATACGTGATCCTGACAAATAAAATTAAGGCTATACATTATCCAGATACAGAGCCTTGTTATTTTCACACCAAGAACAATAACTATATTAGCGTCCACACCAACGGATGATACATTTCTGTTTACGTAAGCAACGCGCGCGCTTGATTTACGTTCTGTGAACCTAGAACTACTAATAAACTGCTTTAAAGTATAAAACTTAAATTGTAATCGTTCAAAAATGTGTACGTTTTCGATAATTGAATGGATTTAAAAAAATTTATTTATATTTTATTATTATATTATGCATTTATATTGCTACGAACACATCTAAATTAACATATATAAAATATATATGTTTTTGCTGAGATTTGACACAATTTTGCATCGTGACTACGTAATGACGTCATCACGCAATGTCATCGTAACATCATTTAGCAACTTTTAGCAACAAATCAACCTTCCTTTAGCAACTTCCCCTGAAAATTAGTTGGCAACACTGCCTAGCAGCGCGCGCTTTAAAATAGTAAGATTTTAATTGGCTGTCCATGTTTTTATCGCTTATCAAATGGTTAAAAAATCGCTCTAAAAGCTATTCCAACGATATCGTTCCACTGTGTCGTTTGTGGTGGGGTCTGTTCAGTTAGAGCGTTTTAAAACTTTATTGTCGAACACCGTTCTTTATCGCTCGGTTTGATCATTTATTTATCATTTGAGATTTTTTTTTTTTAGATCTCACCTTTTGAACATTTAAGTATAATTTCTACTTTTAATTATTATTTTTTTTATTACGGTTATACTGGATTGATAATGGAAGCGAAATATCAAACAAACATTCATCATTTGAGCTTAATTAGTTGGTCATTTGAGGATTTTGATTTTATGAAAAAAAAAAAAAAACTTTAATAATTCTTGGTAATAACCGAACATTCAGGTGTTGACCAAACTGGAGAAAAAAAATAACTATCGAGTTTATGCAAATGTTTACACAAAAAATAAAATTCAGTCATCATTTGTTCAACCTCAAATCTTTCAAAACTCATGACTAATGTAA